TGTCTGTTTGTTTGTTTGTTTGTTTGTTTGTTTGTTTGTTTGTTTGTTTGTTTGTTTGTTTGTTTGTTTGTTTGTTTGTTTGTTTGTTTGTTTGTTTGTTTGTTTGTTTGTTTGTTTTTGTTTGTTTGTTTGTTTGTTTGTTTGTTTGTTTGTTTGTTTGTTTGTTTGTTTGTTTGTTTGTTTGTTTGTTTGTTTGTTTGTTTGCTTGCTTGCTTGTTTGTTTGTTTGCTTGCTTGCTTGCTTGTTTGTTTGTTTGTTTGTTTGTTTGTTTGTTTGCTTGTTTGTTTGTTTGTTTGTTTGTTTGTTTGTTTGTTTGTTTGTTTGTTTGTTTGTTTGGCCAACCAGTACTGCCACGCTAACGTATAGGTAAATATCAAAATTTTGTTGGTATTTCACTCGACATAAAATTTATGCTCGATGTAAGTTTGTAATATTGCTCATTTGGATATTTGGTTGTTTGCATACTTGGTTGTGAGCCTGTTGTGCGGAGCGCTGGACATCATTAAAAATTCTACTTACAACTCGCGGGTACGGTACACGGCCGAAGGAATAAATTTCCCAAAGGAAAATACTAAAACTCCAAACATCAGATTTCGACGAAAAGTTCTGTAAAATAGAGAAGCGAGAACAGTCTAAGAACTGATAGAGCTATCCAGTATATACATAAAGTTAGTTTAGTTTAGGTTTCCTCCTGTAGTAACACTGGATCAATAAGAGATGATCGTTACTGGACCTCTAGGGAGAACAGTTTAGAACTGATAGAGCTATCCAGCATAAATAAAGTTAGTTTAGTTTAGGTTTCCTCCTGTAGTAACACTGGATCAATAAGAGATAATTCTTATTGGACCGCTGGGAAGAACAGTTTAGAATTGATAGGGCGATCCAGTATATATATAAAGTTATTCTAAACAAGCTGTCATACTCACCCCATCTTTCAAGGCTTCGGGCGCTGTCCACTTAATGGGTAATTTACCGGTGACACTAACACTCTTTTCGCGCGCGTGACCAAAATCAGCGACCTTGGCCATGCATTTTTCGTCTAGTAGAACATTCCTAGCTGCCAAATCTCTGGAGTAGAAAAAATGAAGAAAGGTTAAGAAAGATTACTGTAAAAAAAAACCCAGTTACATTTGTAATGTTATGATCATTTACCTGTGAACAAAATTCTGTGACTCTAAATACTTCATTCCTTCTGCAACGTCCCTGAAAAGGAATATAATTTGTTATGGTTGTGAAAGTTGCTTCGCATTTCTGAATACAGTATACAAATAATGAATGTTTGTGAGTGCAATGGTAAGAATATTTTCATGAGGTGAAAGATGGAATGTTCCATTCAACGAGGCGACAGCCGAGTTGAATGGAACATTCCATCTTTCACCGAATATAGATACCATCTTTCACAAAAGATGATTCGATCTTTCACAAAATAGACTAATAGATTCGTATGAGAAGCATTTTGACGGATGCGATTTATCGAAAACACAAAGAGTGCAATGGAATAAAACGTATAGTACAATTGCACTCGCAAAGAGTGCAAAGGAACGTATTCCATTGCACTCTTGGGAAATGGAATTTTCTATTCAATATCACGTGACCATAAACAACCAATTAAACGATCAGAATTCAATAAGGTGTTATATAATGTCTTACAGAACACACAAGATGTGTTTGCAACAGGCTTGTAGCAAGCTTGGCAACAAGTTGTAACATTGCTGTTATTTTGTCAAGTTGCTACAATGTTGTCACTGCAAACTTGTTGACAAATTGTTGAATTGCAGAACGATAACAAGTTGTTCGAACAAATCTGTTGAGCTCAACAACTTTGTAGCAAGTTGTCAACAAGCTGGGAACAAGCAGTGCGAACACATCCTGTTGACAAGTTGTTGGAACAGCATTGCTACAAGTCTGCTCCATTTTTGTTACAACCTGTGCGTTTTTACGCGTGTAATTGACTGGGTTTTACATCATCCTTAGTGTAAACACAAAAGCAAGCAGTTACTAAATCATTATGATATATTTTGATATGTAGTTTACTAACTTGGCAAAACCTATGAGATCTTTCTGCGTGATTACAGCCCGTCCTCGCGATCTCAAATACTCCACTAAACTTCCTTTGTCACAGAATTCTGTAATGATATACATGGGCCTGGAATCTAAGGTAACTCCTAGTAACATCACCAGGTTCCGGTGGTTTAAACCTCTACATGGAAAAGAGTAACTTCGTCAGCTAACAGCTAAAATTCGTCTAACAAATACATGAAATGAATCGATTATTTTGCTACATGAATCACAAGAGATCGAGTAATTTAAAGTTCTTTTGAATTAGCAAAGAACGAATACATCCATGCATGAGTACCACACACACAAGACACCGCAGAGATCTACATCTACCGCGAGCAAAGATGAGAATTTTCCAAAGACGAACGAGGGAAAACAACGACCGAGGTATCAAGCGTCTATAGACTTTAACAATCTACAACATGAACTAAAAAAACGCTACTTCATTATATAACTTTAAAAAAACTATTAAAAATTCGGTGTGTATACTGGGTATAAACCTCTCATTCATTTACTTATCTTTCCAGTTCAAACGTATCGCGGCGAATTGTAACGTATGTATTTGTTTCGTGAGCACTGAGATAGAATTAAAATGTTTTTGAAACAAAGAAGTGCGTTGTGTTTCGATTCGTTTCGATTGGAGTGGAAATCAGGCTTTATTAATACTCATGAATATTTATATTTTATATAATTATGTGTTGCTGTAAATAGTGCATGCCAATAATAATAATAATAATAAGTTTTATCATATTAACATACGTCATTACTGAAGCCTCCGTCAAGAACGTCTGTGATGTTCCCTCTTCTTTTAAAGATTTCACGGCAACTCTCTTCCCGTTAAACTTCCCTTCCCAAACATCTAGTCGACATCAGAAAGAACATAAGCCGTTGTTCAAGTTTGTGTCTGAACTGCCCGAAAGAGTCGGACATCATCAGAATGTGAAAAACAAAACAACAAACATAGGTTAACATATTTCTTCTTCCTATACCTCCAAATTCCCCATGACCAACAACTTTGACGAGGTCCAAATCTTTTCTTGGTATATGCCATCCAGCTAAAGAATTCACACTTGGTTAAATGTATTGCTATTATGCATATATGGTTCAAAACGTGTCTGTTCCCATGCGATGGGAGCCTTCTAGCAGTAAATTATCTGGCATAATTTGACAGAGTCACATGATAAACTCGAGGGCACATTAGGATGAATCTATTCCCTAATGAACAAAATTTTGATCTAGACAAGTGCAGACAAACATTTCATCACAGCTTGAAAGAGCATCACAAAATGAGTAATATTCCGAAGATTCGTTGCGAAATGTTGTAAAATGCGTATAATATAGCCCTGCGAAGTTTGCAGTTTTTCAGTCATTTTGTATTACGCACGGGAAATTGATACCGCTTTCTGAAAAAAGGTATCAATTTCCCGTGCGTAATACAAAATGATAGAAAAACGGCAAACTTCGCAGGGCTATATTATCCGCATTTTACAACATTTCGCAACGAAACGTCGGAATATTACTCATTTTGTGATGCTCTTTCAAGCTGTGATGTCTGGTCTAGACTTGTCTGGATCAAAATTTTGTTCATTAGGGAATAGGTCCATTATGATTAGTTGTAAAGCACATCTTACATTCTTTAAATGATTCTTCATCAACAGACACTGCCAAAGTTCCTTCTTTTTTGAGCGGCTTATTCAAGCGGCAAATTAAACCATCAGCCCCCCGTTCGTAGTGCTAAATAAATGACATGTTCATTTAATTTCGATCATAAAATATGATTTCAGTTAAAAAATGAACATGTACGGGATGAAACATTGGTTGGCTTAGCTTACATCAACGAGTTGCGTTAAATTGGTAAACGATGATTCTTCATCAACAGTTAACTTGTCCTTGTCGTACATGACGCGGTAATGTTCAACTTTTCGTTGATAGCTAGAAAGATACAGTGGTAGAAATGAGATGTTGATGGTAGAAGTGCGCAGAATTAAAGCCTGGGTTTCAAGCTTGTGATGATGGTTACTTGTCTAATGACTCTCTCCTCCGCAGAGGCTTTAGTTTTCTTAGGATTTAATATTACGATGAGATACATTTCACTACACTTTACATGGCGGATCTTGGAACACGAGCGTAGCTGCTGGTTCGTAGACTATTTACAGGTACAATATTTACTAGTGATGGGCGATACCACCAGTATCGGTTTCGATACAATACCGATTACTTTTTGGTTAAAGTATCGAGGTATCGATTACCCAAACGATTACTTCCTCCAATTTTCAAAAAGTTACATATTTTTAACAGTAACGATTTGATCCGCCATTTCAATCCATAAAAAAAAAATTACTTTATTTCCCGCCTTTTTCATAATTTATTCTGTCGGCGAGAATAGAATGTCAAATAAAGTATAAAGGAAGTTTGATTAAATTGTTAAATGCAGCAAAATACCAAAAAGTACATAAATTTTATTAGAAATAACCATGAAAATGATGACAAAACTACAAGATTATAATGAATGTCTAATTTTAAAAGTAATCGAAACACTTTTTCGATACCGTGCAGTATCGACTACTTCCTGTTTGGGCCTGGTATCGGGTGGTATTGATACCAAGTAATCGGTAATCGCCCATCACTAATATTTACAATGCTTATTACTCATAGACGTGAGCAAAGATTTTATTTCGAAAGGAAGAAAGTGATTTGCTTTCCAAAGGAAGTTCCAAAGGATTGCTCCGTCGTACATGAAACTATTTTTCATGTTATTAGTACGAGGTTTTGGTAAACGAAGACCAGTTGAAATGTCCCGAAGGTGATAGTTTGTTTTCTCACATGTATATGAAAATAGATTTGTGAGTGATTTGGGACCCATTTTATTTTAATACTTTATTATCACATCATTTTTGCTTTATTGGTGGTGGTGATGATGGTAGCATTGGCTGTGGTGATTATGATGGTGGTCACTGGTGTTGATAGAGATGTGCAAATTTCGGTTATTTAGCTCCGGCTCCGGCAGTTAAAACTCCGGCTCCTGCTCTGGCAAGGAAATTTTAAGGAAATTTCATATTTAAAAGTAGAAGCAGGGAGAAAGTATTTCAGTGTAATTTCGAATTCGTTTCATTCCTTTTTGAGCTTTCTCCTTTACTTATCAAATATAGGTGCTTCAGTGCTTGTTTAACAATGTTTTGTACAGTAGAAAGTAAAACCTCATGGCAGCGCGGTCTTTTCACCAAAAATACATTGTGTCAGTGGATTTTTGTATCAAAAGCGATAGCAGTGCACATGCAGAATTTTCGAAGCCACAAATAGGATCAGAGCAAGTAATTAAACTTTATAGTAACTTCAAATTATTCAACTTAATTTTTCCATTACCAAAAGTTCGTTGAAATATGAAATAATTTTTCATAATTTTGTCTGCCGGAGTTTTCCAACTCCGGCAAAATATGCCGGAGATTCAGCTCCGGTACTCAGGATCCAGCTCCGGCGCACTGAGCTCTAGCTGTTGATGACGATGGTGATTAGTGGTATCAGTAGATGAGAATTATGATTCATATACAGACAAAACTTTCTTACCAAACACACAACGCAAAGTCTCCAGGATAATTTATACTTTCACGAACAAGAAAGAGACCATCCTGAGCGTTTTGCATCAGCAAATTTTCAGCTGTGGTTCGATCAATTCTCCCATGAAACCAACTAAAATGTGACAAACAAATATAAAATTTTAAAAAATATATTTACTACTGTAGCGGTTTGGATGAACAATTTAGAACTGACAGAGCTATCCAGTATAAAATAATAAAGTTTAAAGTTTAGTTTAGGTTTCCTCCTGTAGTAACACTGGAACAATAAGAGATGCCCTTATCGGAACTCTAGGGAGAACAGTTTAGACCTGTTAGAGCTATATATCCAGTATAAATAAAGTTAGCACTAGACCAATAAGTGATAAGCCTTACTGGACCTCCACGAGGAACATTTTAGAAGTCATTGAGCTATCCAATATATTAAATAAAGTTTGTTCCATTTAGGCCCATTTAATCTAGGTTTTCTTCTGTCGTAACACTGGATCATCCCTGCCAGACATCTAGACGAAACAGTTTAGAACTCAGATAAGCTATTGTTAGTTTAGTTTAGATCAACGTACGGCATTTTATGAAGTTGCACAGCTTCCTTTCCTTTCTTCTTTTTAACATAATTAACTGGTATATAACCAACATTTCCTCGAAGATCTTTTGCTTTCAACCAATTTGCATCCTTTACATGAATAGAAAATAATCATTATGTAATAGACGTTCCTATAACAACATCAAAGATGGAAAAACACTTGCCCCAAGGGCCAATTTTTTGGGACAATTAATTCACAGTGCAAATTGATCTTTTTATGAAATTTATTGGTTCGCCAATGATATGCATGGCAAATTGTTGCTATAAATTTCCTGTGGGACTGATTGCATAATTGATTTTCCATGTTCGACATCGTTATATGAAAGGTCTATGAAATAAACATTTTACAAGATTTTATTTGTGCTGCACTGCACATGGATCAATAAGTAAAAAGAAAAGTTACCTCAGTTTTTTCGACCACAATCAATGTGTCGCCTTTTTCAAACTGTAAATCCTGCTCACGAAAATAAAAAAGAGTCCTGAGGAGAACTTTCTTCCAATGTGTGTCTACTACGATAATGGGTCTACCCAAAAAAGACCCACACTCCCGCCTACCATGAAGGAAATTTCTGCCATCCGGATGGGGAGGGGAGAAAATTATGTGAAATTTGATCATTGCTTACAGTCAAATCGGATGTTCTCTTGCGAGCAACATTGCAATACTGTTCAAAATTGCTCTGAGCAATTTGCAACCAACACGAACAAATTCCAAGTTGAAATTCACAAAAGATTTGTGAGCAAAGCTTTCTGATTGGACTATTTAAGCAAAAAGGAAACCAATCAAATAGTCTGAGCAACTGGATTGGAGCTTCCCTTTTTCTTATAGTCCAATCAGAGGCTTTGTTTACAAATCTTTTGTGACTTTCAACTTGCAATTTGTTTGCGTCGGTTGCAAATTGCTCAGAGCAATCTCCCTATCAAAATTGCAATATTGTGGGACAATATTGCAATGTTGCTTGCAAGAGAACATCTGGTCTGACTGTAATACTGATTGAGTGAGCAATGTGTTGCATGGAGGCGAGTATTTGTGGGGTCTCATGGGAATTGACTGGTCAGAAATCGCATTTGACCGGTCACCATGACCAACATAACATGAAACATTATTTTGAGCCCTGCACTACTGTAAACTACATTAGCTTTGGCACTTTCTGCCAGTAGGGTTGGGCGGGTTGGACACAGGTCAGTCTAGCACGAGGCAAGCAAAAAAGTAACTCTGACAACCTTGACCCCACCCAACCTTGCAAGTCAGGGTAAGAAAGATCATGGGTACAAGGTTGGACCCCACCCTAGACCCAATCCTGCAGCAGTGTGTGAGAAAACATTTTCTGCCTCTTGTATTCCTCAGCCGACAGAAAATAACACATTCTGGAATGACCCTTTGTCATCAAATAATCTTACCTTACGATTTCCTTTCCTAAATGTAAAATTGGCAATAACTTCTGTCCCTGGAGCAAACTGTAGTACAAGAATAAAATGATCATTAATCAGTATTCAAGAATGATACACAATAATGTTTTTCCAATTTTTATATAGAAACAGAAAGTCGTAGGGGCACTTGAATCAGACATGTCTTTTTAGATGCCCTTGCTCCCTCAAAGCTCCCGCCTTTATTTTTATATTTGATACATAAACAAGACTTGGAACAAGCGAACAAGTCTAGGTGTGGCCGCTCTTAACTTTAGAAAGACTTGTGATTCTATTTGATCGTGATTCTATTTGATTATATGAAAAGTCTTTTGATCTAACAGTTCGCACATGCTAACAATCTCAAAATAATACGTGCCTTTTTTCTGGCTGCCAAATTTTATTACATACATTTTGGCATGGCATCTTTAAAAAATAGGGCAACGTTGAGTATCGGTTACGTCTCATGCAAATTCGGCACCATCTTTTTAACAACTAACTTTTCACATCTAAAATAACCACAGGGGTACCCACCATCAATGCTGCACTTTTGTTGTCCAAATTTACACCAAATCTACAAAATCAAATAAATTTTCAAATAAAATTCCACATATGGTCATCACTGTAAATGTGAGGCCATTAGAAGCAATAAGCTAAGTGGCAGTCATTTAACAAATTCATTAAAAACTTTGTTTATAATTCGCTAATTATTACACTGTCCAGCTGGTATTTATTAATATATACTCATGATTGCCTTCAAATATGCAAGAATCTGAATGAAAATTATGAATATTATACCTTTCACAAACATTCGAATTGACGTTCTAATTAACTCTAGAACACAGCTTGTTACTAATTCTAGCCTGCAATGGAGTCAACATATTTGTATTTGATTTGCTAAACAATATTGGTCATCCTTTGTTTTAGCGCTAACACACCCGGAAATAAAACCAATTTGTGTTTCACGAACGATTTTAGTATCAGCAAGATATTCTATATCTGAAAGACAAAATCGGACTACAATTTGGCCATATATAGCTCTGTTCTATATCCTGCTTGTCGCAAATTGCCAAAAAATTCGTAAATAATATCAAGAAATACTTTTTACTTTGGGCCAACATCGACGAGAAACGTTTATCTCCTTAGCGAAAGGACAAGAGTTTTTGAGAGTTTGGAAGTTGCAGTACATTATCGAAGCATAATAAACGCACACAACACAATATAGTTGTTTCTGTGGAACTTTGTATATAAACTTTATGACGGGCAGTGATTATTCATCAAATTGTAAGACATATTTTAGTCAATAGACGACGAATTCCGGTCTAAATTGCCGTCGAGTTTCACGGTACTGCTTTACTGTAACGAAAGCTAGATAAATGTTTTAAATCCGGAGACAAATCAACTCAAAAATCCTCTAAAATTGAACAAAATAAATATCAACAACCAGCATTGGTTGTGCATTTTAAAAACAAATTTGGTCTCGCTTGTATAAAAATGTGGCACTTTGTTGATCAAAATAAACAAGGCTATCGGGTAAAAACCCTACTCACCTCTGGGTATATGGCTCGAGTAATAGTCCAAATTTAAGGTTATAAAATAAAAGAGGTCGATCCTTCTTTAACGGTGTTGGTTTTCAACGTTGAAATGTTTTATTTCTGACAATCATAGAACTTCGTCTCGAATGTCGCTTTCGCACGGAAGTAGAATGTGAGAACCTCGTTTTGAAGCGGGGAGTGTAGGGCATGCGGGCTATTTGCGGAATTTATTCTCGAATTATTCCAGTTTGTGGAATAAATTAACACCCCCGCCTCGATTTCGTAGATTTCGTAAATAAATAGATGTTGCATCGTTATTTTTTCAATTGTCTTTGCCAGTGTAGGTTTTGCGAATCAAATGAACAAGCTTTCGTTGGTAGGATGCAACTACCTGAAAATATCAGGAAAATTTCAAAAATGGAAAGTGTTCAAAACCTAAAATCTTTTTGGCGTTCCTCTCAACTGAATTACTTTGTTTTGGCTTTATTTTGTAGTTTACACAGCAGCAATGGCCACGGATCTGGCGGTGGAGAAACATAAAATAATGGTTGAATAACTAATAATAGTAACTTAACTAATATGCTAGTACTGTAACTTTTGATAGATAATAATATTGTAATAACTGTTTCCCTAGAGGTCCAGTAAGGAATATCTCTTATTGATCCAGTGTTACTACAGGAGGAGACTTAAACTAACGTAGCTGTATCAGTTCTAAACTGTTTCCCCTAGAGGTCAAGTAAGGATTATCTCTTATTGAGTTATTGATCCAGTGTTACACAGGAGGAAATCTAAACTAAACTAAACTAAACTAAACTAAACTAAACTAAACTAAACTAAACTAAACTAAACTAAACTAAACTAAACTAAACTAAACTAAAACTTTATTTATACTGCATAGTCTATCAAATCCATTAACTATGATCAAATCTAATTGACTGTTCTCTCTAGAGGTCTACTAATAAAGATCATCTCTTATTGATTCAGTGTTACTACATACAGAAGGAAACCAAAGTACTTAGAAAGTACTCAATCAGATTGAGAACGACCGCATTCTATTACACAACGCAACGGAGTTAAGGGCTGTTTCCTGCGTTTATGCATAACAGTTTTAGTATTTCCGATTCAACGGTTCTGGAAAGTTCGTCTGAAACTTTCGTAAATTCCTTCCAAAGTTGACAAGTATGAATTATCTGGGTTGTCGCGCGATTTCAAAACCTTGAATCATTTCTACGTTTGCAGAACACGCGTCAGTAAAAATCTCACATCTTGTAGCGCGGTCTGCCAACAAGCCGTCAACAAGTTGTGTTCGCACTGCTTGAGTCACAAGTTATCAACAAAGTTCAGAACAAGCTGTTAACAACTTGTAACAACCTTGTTGATATTATCAAACTTGTTGCAAGGTTGTTCCAACAAGTCCGATACAGTCATGATATAACAAATATTATTATATAATTGTAAATTCTGAACGCTGATTGGCTAAGAGCCGTGTTGATATAACTCAATGTCAACACGGAAACGTAGGAAATTTATATTTCTTTGTGCTATATTATAAAACAAATATAAAACATTTTTTCCGTATTGATATACAGTTACATCAACACTCGTGGAAATTGGGAAAACTCGAAATTGTGTGAAAACCACTGAGCTGTATAATAACTGGAGGACCTGCTCCTATACTTCGTTCAGTGATCAAAGTGAAGCCAAAAAAATGACGGATTTCGACGTTTGCTGACGCCATTTCCATGACAACTGGTCCGTAATTCTCACAGAATTGCCACTGACCAACCGCGATCCTGAGCTTCAGACGACGTTTTCACCCCCCTGGTTTTGGCAGTGTTTTTAGTTAAAAACATAATATATTTTTCTCGTATTTTGCTGGGGGTTTTTTCAACTTGGAAGGAATTAAAGTGCCGTTTTGCTCCACTTGCTGATGCAACAATTTACTTTACTTTACTTTACATAAAAGGACGAGTAATTCGTTTCACAGGTAAGATTCATGGGATGGATACTATAGTACGAAATTTTTTTAATTTCTATATTGGACATTAAAGTCATAAAAAACCTTGTAAAATTTGTGGTCATAAGACTTACTGTTTTGTTTTAGCCCTGGTGATGTGTCTTACACAGATTTTGCCGGTGAAAATAATTTCTTAGTTAATTTAATACACTTAATATAGACCAGGAGTCCAGGATTAAACACAAGGCCAGAGACGGGAGCAACGAGGGCAAAATAGCCAGGGCCACTACACTGGATTCACTTGTTATATGACATCAACATATAGTCGTGTACTGTTAACAAGTCAACTGTTAATGGTCCGCATACAATAAATTGACTTGTCCGATTTTGTCATATAAACAAAACTCCTGATTTTAATAGTCTTGAAACTGTTAAATTTGATGTTGTGAGCAGTGGCATAGCCAGACTGAAACAGAAGTGGGGAAACAATCAATTGTGTCATCAAGAAATTGGTGGGTGGGTCGGTGAGGGAGCTGCCAAAGGCATGAGCCTGTTAGCGGGTCTGGGGGCACGCTTACCCAGAAGATTTTAAATCTGAGGCCTCTCAGACTACTCAGAGCCCTGAAATGCAATCAAATTCACTAGCTCAGTAAGGGACCAGTCATTTAATGCCGGGTAGGGGGCCGGAGGAAATTTAGAGGGGCCACAAAAAATTTTTACCAGTGAAGGGGGGGGGGGCAGAAAATATTTTGAACATAAAGGGGGGGGGGGCAAAAAATAAAATCTATGGAATAGTTTGTAACATGTAATATCAAAAGAGTGATGGATATATACAGTATACATACATACATTGAACACTAATGCCCAATATATTGAACCTAAAGTTGTGTTCTAGCTACTGTATATGGAAATTGTCATCCTCATCATCACCGTAGAATTTGTCT